GGGACATGGCTCAGTGGAATAAACGCTTCCCTGGCAAGTGCAAGGGCTTGAGTTCAATCCCCGGTTCCACAAAAAAAAAAAAAAAAAAAAAAAAAAAAAAAGAAAGAAAGAAAGAAAGAAAAATATAAGCATACTTGCCCTCTGCATCTCAGATACACTGCATACAAGCCTTTTCATTTTTCTTAAAATCCAACCAAATCCAAATTGTAACTACTCAGAAAGTTAATGATATTCACCAAAACTTCACACTCCATATACATTATATAACTTGGCATTTGATTCACAAAGTTCCTTTATCATCCTGGGTAATGCCATTTTCAGCCTACAAGTCTAACAACTTTCACCCCCACTCTAGTCATTTATTCTTGCTGCCCTGCCAGTATCACCAGTACATATTCCATCCTCTAGTCACAACCTCCAACATGATGCTAAATTCCTGCTAATATTACTTCTACTTCTTATCTACCCTCACCTTTTCAACTGTACTGCCACTGCCATGTTTTAGATGCCAATATTCTCACCTGGACTACTCAACTGCCTATTTAAAGAGTTCTCCTTACCACCAATCTTAGTCTACCAATCTAAATCCATTCCCCACATCTAGCTGAGTTAGCTATCTAATATGCACAAAAGTCTGTATCACTTTAAGACTCATTACCCTGGGCTGGTCAAACAGCTCAGCAGATTAAAGCACCTGCTTAGGCAGACTCATGGGCTGAGAGTTTGATCCCCAGGTCTCTCACACTGGTACCAGCACCAGCCCCACCCCCGGGGTGCACTGAGACAACTGGGCGTGCATGGCACGTGCCTGTAATCCCAGCACTTGGGAGGCTGTAAATAGGAAGATCACTATGAATTTGATCTATGCAGTAAGATCCTGTCCTAAAATACAAAAAAAAAGTCATTACCCTAAACTGGGTGTGATAGCACATACCTATAAACCCAGCACTCGAAGGTGGAGGAGGCAAGAGGATTACCTGGAGTTAAGAGGCCAGGTCAGCCTTGGCTATATGAGTTCAAAGCCAGCTTGAACTACATAGTGAAACCCTTCTCAAAAAGAAAAAGGTGTCCATTAAAGGTTATCATGTTTGTGACTCTGTAATTGAAGAACAAATACATCCCAGGAAATCAAATATTAAAAAGAAAAAAAAGAATCAGTACCCCTCCTTACATGGAACACTCCAAATTCCTTATATAGCATACCAGATCTTCCAAGATCTAACCTCATGTCCCACCACATCCCATTTGTTATTCAATATTTAACTGTTTCAGTCTCTAACATTACCAATTTAGCAATTTACTTTGCTACCTTTCTTCAGGCTATTGCTTTGATCTGAATACCCCTCTCCCTTCCCTATTCCACACCCCCACAACCACCCTTTTTCAGATGGCTAACTCCTACTCAATCCTGTGAGAGTTGGCTCAGATGCCATCTTCAAAATGCATTCTCTACACCCCCAGGCTGGGCTAAGTAGTCCTCTTATGGAACAGTGTTCATATTTTCTTGATATCAATGTACTAAAATTATTTTGTGTATTTATTATCCCTTTAGACACCATAAAATTCATGGAGAGGAAATAAATTAAATTCATCCTTAGTGGACAGAGACTGGCATTTGCAGAACAATCTGTTGTTGAACTGAATTTAATCTCCAAGACATCACCACAAGCAGTATCAATTAAGAAGTGCAAGAGTGATTTTAAAAGTACAAGAGTGAAAGGACTCCATTGAAAACAGACATAGTTTTCCTAGTTAACATTCATATCTTCTGGCTGGCCAGTGCTGCCTCTATATCAGAGTACTACTTACACCACAGCACTCAACGAGATCAGTCATAAAACAAGGGGTGGAGATTGTAGTTCAGTGTGCATGTTCAGGATGTGCAAGGCCATGGATGAGATCCCCAGCAACAAGCTGAGGGGTGGATAAAATGCTAAGCCATTTCAGCAGAACCAAACTGATGAGGATTTAGAAAGGTGAGGAGCAAGTAAGCCAAAGATGAAAGCACAGAGGTACTTATCCCCTTTAAGTGGCAACCCTAGAGCATGGGTTCTGATATGTGGGAAAGAAATATAACCCACATACACATATCGTTTAGGGCCCAAGTACCCCTACCTGAAGTGCGAGAAAAAGCTATTCAACTAGACTGATTTTCCTTGTCTCTTCTCTCATTTCACCTGCTGCTGTCACTGGGTATAAATGGCGATGCTGAAAGAAAATAACATCTTGCTCATAGCAGGCAGCAGGAGAAAACTGAGCCTCCTTAGAGCGCTTACAACTTCTCTATGTTCCCTATCCCACCTGTTCCCTTTGGTCAGCTGTTGATTAGGAGGTTCTCAAAGAAAGCAGATGGGCAGGTTTCCCATTCAACCAATCAGAAGAGCCAGCTGCCCTACAGTTCTCTACTGAAGTGTTCTTACATCCTAGGAAATGAAGGAAGTGTCCATCCATGCTTTGCCATGGGAAAATGAAGTGGAAAAAATGTGGAAAAACACAGTCCCAATTATGCATCAATGAATGCAATTCTACAATATGCCTCAGTCTCCTGAAGGTTAACTCCCTATGTTTGAGAAGGGGAAAAATAACCACCTTTAAGTCTTAAATCCTACACCAAATTATCCAAAGTACTAAGAATTATTAGAGCTTCTAAATCAGTGGTTCTCAATCAAGAGCAAATTTGTGCCCCAGGAGATATTTGATAACGTCTGGAGAAATTTTTGATTGTCACGCCTAGGGGAAACGGGTTGCTACCATCACGTAAGGAGGCCAGGGTTGCTGCTAAAGGTCCTGTAATGCACAGGAGAGTCCACCATTACAAAGAACTGTCTAGCTCAAAATGTCAACTATGCTGAAGATGAGAATCCCTATTCTGAGTGAAGAGAATGTCTAAAAGAATGTACATATTTTCCACACTAGATCTGGAGAAGGAAGATATCAGCTCCCCTCCCAACCCAAATCCATCAAGCAATATTCCAGAGGAAAAGAAAGGCTAGTTTGTACCTAAAAATAAATAAATAAATAACCAAAAAAAGAAAGGCTAATAGACATAAGATCACTTAACTCAAGTCCAACTAGCACAAAGAAGTTTCATCCCACCTCAGCCTTGGCTCCTCTATCACCTGCTGTTGCCACTCAGGTGAACAGCAGGTGGTAGGGCTACACTCCCCTCTGCCCTATCCTGGGAGGTCTACTTTGACCTACTTCAGTCTGGAGTTGTGAGACAATAAAAGAAATGCTACCCTCTTCAAGACACAAAGGATTCTGCTCTTAACTTCAGGGCCATTTTTAAAGTATTGAAATTAGCCAGAAGTAAACCCTTCTTTGCTAGGTCACTGATCAGACTTACACTACTTAAGTCAGTGAGGCAAAACATAGCAGAAGTAAGTCTCCCAAGGCCATGTCCTTGGGAGAAATGTCAGGAGACTGACACACAGGCTAACAGGCAGCTCCCCTACTTAATTATCATCTAGGATTGTGAATTAACTCACTCAGCAACAAAGATGGGGGTTCTAGAAATCTAGCTTCAGGAGTAAAAGAACATGATCGACCTCTTCATAACTTAAACTCAGCTTTCTGTGGCAATGAAGCAAGGGAGTTCAGTCTAAAATATAGATACTCTAGTTGAAAGGTGTCAGAGTGGGGAGGAGAATATTCTCCAAGTGGAAGGTTACAAAGAACTCCAATCTGGGCATTCCAAATACACTAGAGACTAAGAGGCAAACTCTCCAGTAAACAAAGTCTTACTACTACTGGCTTCTATGGCTTTATCTGAGACACTAACATGACCCCCCTCCCCAAGACTTTCCCAAGAATGAATAACTTTAATTATGTGAATATTTCCTGAAGTTTTAGATTTGCTATTGTTTGTTAGTGAGACTCTGTCTCACTATGTAATCCAAGGTGGCTCTGACTGCAGTATATAACCAGACTAGCCTGGAATTTTCGATCCTTCTGCTTCAGCCTTCTAAGTGTTAGAAGTATAGGCCTGTGCCACCATGCGTATTTGTTTTTCTTTTGGAAGGGCCAAGAAAGCCTAAGGCCAATAGACAGTTTACATGTATCTACTGGACTTCCTCCTAATGGATTGATCTCTGTTAAGTTTCTATGGCCAATGTCTAGTTTCAGCCCATCCAGGGATGATACCTGTACTTTCCAAAGCACTCTTTCTTAAAAGCCCCAAGAAAAGACATGTGAAAGAAATAGAAAAGTAATGTTCTGATATGAAAATGACAATCTAGTTTCTCCTAGGTTCAGAAGCATTACAGATACTTGACTCTCTCAGAAATTTACAGGGGCCGGGGACATGGCTCAGTGGAATAAACGCTTCCCTGGCAAGTGCAAGGGCTTGAGTTCAATCCCCGGTTCCACAAAAAAAAAAAAAAAAGAAAAGAAAAGAAAAGAAAGAAAGAAAGAAAGAAAGAAATTTACAGAAAAGTCCTGTGGAAGAAGTGAAATAGGAGTGATCTCTTGAAACAAATTAAAACTACGTAGGAGAAAAAAAATAAGAGAAATCTCATCCACAGTTAAAAGTACACAGTTTGGGGCCAGGGAGATGGCTCAGTGGAATAAACGCTTCCCTAGCAAGCGCAAAGGCCTGAGTTCAATCCCTGGTTCCGCCAAAAAAAATAAATAAAAGTACAGTTTTCTTGCATATAGAAGTAGGAAAATATAACCAAGTACCTGGAACTCAGAGTTTACAAAGTATGTTTTCAAAAGAAGAGTCTAGGAACTCTGAAGAGAAGTCAGAGGCAAGCTTTTCCAAGCCTTGAAATTACCTCAGCAACCCTCTAAGAGGAAGATATAGTAGACAGTGTACTAATGCAGTTTTCCATATGTAAAAGTGTTTCTGGTAGTGCAGACCAAAAAGACAAGAACCAAAGCTGGGGGTTTGGCCCAAGCCACATGAACTTTCCCTCTCTTCCCACCTATCTCCAGGTACCTGAAGAGACTGGGAGTGCAACAGATCTTGATGCACTCAGGTGAGTGAAAATTCTTTTCCTTGGCATCTACCCCAATACACTGCTCATGCCATTTTCATTCTGTTCCATTGCTATAAAAACAAGAAAAAGTTCTAGACTTACCTCTGGAAGAAACTTAATTTCCCCGGTCTCTTCCTAGCACAAGTTTCAAAGCCAGCAGAAAAACAAAAACAAATGGGGGAGGTAGTCAAACTTGGAGCTTTATTTTGACAGTGTTAGTCAATTTCAGTCACAAAAATTCAAAGAAGCCTAAAGCTATTTCAATCAAACTGATCCACTCAGAGATAAAGAACTGACTCACAACAAAATCTTGAAGCTTCCCTAACTCCAAGGTGGGTCAATTGACAAAACAATACCAGCTCTAAGAATTTCCAGTCCCAACGTCTCATGGCAAGAAAGATCTCAAATTTGACAGCTTCCAGGAAAGCCCATTACCCCCTGTAACTTTCTCACCTGCCTTCTCAATTCTTTTGATTCTATTTGTTACAATATTATTGTTAAACTTCCATCTTCAGAGAAAACTGGGAGGAAAGGGGTTACAGTTAAGGCACTTTCTTCCCATCACTTACTAGACTAGAACTATCCTTCACATCCTATCTTTGCCCTTTCCTCTAACTAGCACACAATGAGAACAAAATACCCACTGGGGCAGCATCCACTCACATTTCTACATTTCAGCAGGGGACGTTTTCTATGTATGTATGTTGACCCACTCTCTCCTAGCACTTAAAGAGCAAAAGGAGGGTCTGAGAGCTAAAGGACTGAATGAGCCTGCCTAGATGCCAGTCCTATCTTTTCTGTTTTCTCCTCAGACTTCTCAGCATACAGGGGTCCTACATAGCCACGTCTGTTTCCAGTCTTGTATTGCTAATTACTAAAAACTAGAAAAGTCCTTAATTTCTCCACACTCCACACCAGCTTCCCCATTTTCCCTTCTTTTCGTAACCAGGAAAAATAAGAGAGCAGTAAGCTAAAAAGCCTTTTGGGAAGCAAATCCAGTTGAACCCTCATTCAACCCCACTTCTCCAAACCCACATGACCATTCCCTTCTGCCCTTCCCACCCTATTAAAAACTAAGGGCCTGGCAATTAGAATTGGCTGCAAGTGATGCTGCTTAACTCGGCTGTCTTCTTGGCCACAGGGGGAAGGGAAACCCCCGAATCTCTTATCACCCGTGCAGCTCCTCGTCCCATCTCCCATCCCATTCCCCTTCCTCCCAAACTTTCCTCCCCGTCTCTCACTTTCTCCATTGCCTCGTCACACCGACACTCTCTCCAGTCCCTAAATCTTCGTTCTCTCCTTTTCCACCCAAATTCTCGCCCAGGCCCTTCCCCCTCCCACTTGCAATTTAACACTTTCAAAACCTCCTTCCCCGAAACGTCTCAAATCCAGTCCTCACCTTCTCCCACCTCCTCGCAGCAGCTCTGAGTCCAGCCCTTCCTCCGACCACATGCCACAAGCCCCTTCCCGGGGAAGCCTCGGTCTCTCCCTCCGGCTCCCACCCCCTTCCCATCCGGCTGTCTCCAGCCCCACTCCCCCACCTCGGCCTCTCTAATACCCCGGGCCTGCGCCGGCCCGGCCCTTGTTGACGCCCCTCCCCATACCCCTACCCAGCGCCGCGACCCCTGCCCTCCGCTACAGTTGCCACCTCCCCTGCACGCCCCCTCGGCCGTGCCCCTCCCCCACCTCGCAGCGTCCCGTCACCTCCCTCTCCGGAGGTTCTCAGGCTGGAAGTCGCCACCGCCTCCCCCTCCACTTTCCTTCCCCGAGCCCTTTGCGGCCCCGCCCGGCCGCGCCCCGCCCCGTCCCGCTCGACTCCCCCTCCCCACCCCAGCCGCCCCACCGCCCCACCGCCCCGCCGCCTCACTCTTGGCTTAGGCTCGGCGCCGCCATGTTGAATCCATCCGCGCCGCTTTCCCGAGCCGTCTCACGGAGCCGCATCCGGGCTCCGGCCGCCGCCGCCGCCGCCGCCGCGGGCGTGGGGGAGGGGAGAGGCGGGCGGGGGTGGTTGCATCCTGCACAGCGCCTCCCGGAACCTGGCCGGTTAGCGGCGGCTTCGAGACCATAGCAAGGCATGAGGAGAGTAGCCATATTAAGTGAGGGCAGCCTGGCAGCGGCATTAAGCGGGGAGTGAATGGCTTCACGCTCGTAGGAGAGAATGGAGATTGGCGGCCATCTTGCTTAGGGGCAAGCTGGCAGCTCAGGTTTGCCCGGACAAGTTTTGGGCGGTAGGGAGGAATAGACGAGTGTAACGTTCTTCAGTGTATAAATATAGGTGGCGCTCGAGTTGTCTGGTTTCGACTTCGCGACCCACTGAAACACTGGGATTGGTAGCCATGACGCATAAGGGCGGAATAGCACTGGGGTTGGACTGTCGCAGGAACGTGGGTGAAGGTTCAAGATCTAGATTTGACCTTTGCTCTGGGCTTCCTGGTCACCCGGACGTTCGGTAAACCCGGACGTGGATCAGGGAGCGCTGCTCGGATTCTCCCTCGGAATTCAGTCTTTCAGCATTTGCCATTTGAGCGCCCGCTTCCTCTAGGAAGTGTTGCCAGAGCTGAGTCGTGAAGGACTTGGGAACTGAACTGGGGCGGGAGCAGGGGGCGCAGGTACGTTCGGAGCTGCTCACAGCCCCGGCAGGGCCAAAGAGAGGTAATGCACCAGGCATGTACAATGGAGAGGGACCAGATTACGCCGGGCCTTGTCAATTAATTTTATCCTAAGGGCAGTAAAGAGACTTTGAAGTGTCTAAGCTGAGACGTGAACAATTAGATCCGGTTACTGCTTGCCCGGGGCGGGCACGGTGGCAGGCGCCTGGTTGTCCCAGCATTTTAAGGATCCTCCAGAGAATCGCCGGAGCCTTGGAGGGCAGCTGGGATTTAAAAGGGGCGGGGAGGTGTGGTCCAACAATAGAGTGCGTGCTTACCCTGTGTAAAACCTTGCATTAAATCAATGGCAAAGAGAAAAATCACTATTTGCAGTGTGAAGGATGGGATGGAGGGTTAAAACTTAGGAGAAGAGAACAACCTTGAAGCTTTTACTCAGGGAATAGAGAAGTGTGACTCAGCAGTAGAACTGCTTGAGGCCATGGGTTGGGTCCCCAGGGCAAAAAATTCTAAAAAAGTGGTGAGGGGAGGCTTAAGAGGCAAACATTGCGTTGGGGAGTATAAACGGTTTGTTTTGTTTTGTTAAGGCAGGGTCTCACTGTGTAGTTCAGGTTGGCCTTAAACTCAGGCTGGCCTGAATTTGCAGTGATTGTCCTGTCTCAGCTTCCTTAATGCTGGGATTACAGACATGCGCCACTATGCCTGACTCAGTTGTTTTTTGTTTTTTGTTTTGGAGGAGAAAAATGAATTTTAGGTGCCTGTGGGATATCAGTTAGACAAATATTAAATAATTCGGGCTGGAAACAAAAAAGGTTTGAGGTATGTTTCTGTGTATATATAGATAGTTGTAAAATGACCTGGACTAAGAATGCCATGCGTTTGAGGAATGAGACAAAGAAAGAAAGCTAAAAATAAAATAAAATAAAAAAGACTCTCAAAAAGGGAAAACAGAAAGGAAAGAAAAGAAAAGAAAAAACAGTATCAAAGAGAGTCCAGTGCTAAAAGTAACAGGTCCTTTGGATTTTACAACAAAGTCACTTAGTAAATTTAAACTGTTTCTTAAAGATGTGAGATAGAAAACAGATTAAACGAGGAAGGCACAAAGTAGAAAGAGTTTTACTCCAAGGTGTTAACTAAAAAGGAGGCTAGCTGCAGTTTTGCTTGAGGAAGAACTCCAAGAGTTTAGATAACACGTAGGACCACTAGGTGGAGATGTCCAACTAGCAGTTGAATGTTGTTTGTGCCGATCTAAGACTTAGGAGAAAAATACAGTAAATTGAAAAAAGTAAGTGTAGGCGAATATGGCACATTTACACTTATGTTTTGTTGCATTTTCTGAGACAGTCTCACTATGTTGTTGAAGCTGGCTTTTTCTTTTTTTTTTTTCTTTAGGGAAGTGTCTATAGGGTGTTCAGGGTCTTGACTAGATGGTCCTCATAATGGTCCGCCTGTTTACAGCCTCTCAGGAACTGGGACTACAGACGGGCACCACCATACCCAGTCTCCATTGCTGTCTCAGTGCGCCCTGGGGGTAGGGCCGACAGAGGAAGGCCTGATATTGAACCCCCAGCCCCTGGTGCTTTAATCCACTGAGCTATTTGGCCAGCCCTGAGACTGGCTTTGAACTCACTATGTAGTCCATGTTGACCTCCAACTCACGGTGATCCTCCTGCCTCAGTCTCCAGAGTGCTGGACTTACAGGCATGTACCACCTTGCCTAGTTCTTAAATACACTTACCTTAAAAATTAATCATGAGGGGCCAGGGAGATGGCTCAGTAGAATAAGCACTTGCCTGGCAATCGCAAGGGCCTGAGTTCAATCCGTGGTTTTGAAGAAAAAAAAAAAAAATCATGAGGATGGGGATTAGTTCAGTGGTAGAGCATTTGCCTAATGTGTGCAAGGCCTTGGGGTCCTCACTGGACAAAGTTAACCATGAAGAATGGATATGGGAGGGATGACACACTTTTCACTTTGAATTCATCTTTAGTTATCAAGGACCTGGCCAAGCCCCTACTCTAGACTGTGCGTGGTGGCACGCGTGCCTTTAATCCCAGTGCTTGGGAGGCTGAAAACAAGAGGATCACTACTGGTCTGAGCTGTGTAATGAGACCCTATAGACCCTGTACTAAATACATTAAAAAAAAAAAAAAGATCCCCAACTGCCTGGATGAAGGATACAGTGAAAGGATAAAATAACAAACATGATGAAGATGAGGATGGCGGGGAGAGACGGCAGGTTATAAAAGAGTTTGTCCTTTCCCAAAGAGAAGCCCTATTGTTTACTACTACTGGGTTCTCAAGGAACCAGGATGTCTTCTGCTGGTGCAGTCTTGCCCTGGGCCATCACAGCATTATGGAACCATTGAGGCCTCAACTGTGACCGGAGGTACCCAGAGTTATATTCCCGAATATAATAGTCAGCCTGCATGGCAAGGCATTGGGCCTGAGACAAGCCCTAATCACAATTAAATTATGAAGTGATATTTCCTCAACATCTGTTATATAGAATGGTCCTTGAGCGATCCCCTTTTATTTGCTTGTAGAAAGTGAGTCATCATGACCCATGGCCGCCAACGCCTTTAGACGTCATTTGGTTAGAGCTTCTCCTGCACAAACTCAGAAGAGAGCAAGAAGACATCATCTAATTACTATTAATTAGCACAGCACTATAAACCAAAAGCAAGTGTTGAGATAATTAGAGGGGTTAAGCTGATCAAGAACATCAAAAAAATTTTCCAGTTTTGAATCTGATCATGAAAAGCAGCAGTCTGTTGGGATATAGCTAAAACTTCCTTTTGGGGGCATCAAGATCCATAGTCATGGAGCCGGGGAGATGGCTCAGTGAAATAAGCGCTTCCCTGGCAAGCGCAAGGACCTGAGTTCAATCCCTGGTTCAAAAAAAAAAAAAAAAAAAAAAGATCCATAGTCATGCGGGAATATAACTCTGGGTACCTCTGGTCACAGTTGAGGCCTCAATGGTTCCATAATGCTGGAATAAGTGCTTGCCTGGCAAGAGCAAGGGTCTGAGTTCAATCCCGGTTTCCGCAAAAAAAAAAAAAAAAAGACATTTGGGCTGGTGAGATGGCTCAGTGGTCTAAAGCACCTACTTAGAACAAGCTTAGCAAAGCACAGGGACCAAGGTTCAGTCCCCCAGCACCACATGCCAGCCAGCCCCACCCCCTGGTGGGCTGAGCTGGCCATGTGTGCGCGCGCGCACACACACACACACACATAAATTTTTAAAAAAAGATCCATAGTCATATTTTTATGTATTTCTGTCTCTCTCTCTCTCTCTCTCTCTCTCTCTCTCTATATATATATATATATATATA